GGTCCGTAGCCTAGCTGACGGGTACAATGGCCGGTCATGTCCGAACACAAGGTCTGGCTGGCACGACTGGCACATAGCCTAGTCCGCGGCCAAGCCATTGGGTTCGTGGCTTGACACATGGCTCGTCCATGGCTTACCCGACACAACGCGACGATCCGTGGCCGATCGACGTTCAAGTATCAATAATCCATGGTCGACCCTCGATTGTCATGTAGCCTCATGGAATCCAGTATCCCGGAATTAACTCATGGTCATTCGCGACCGATGCATGGCCGTGCGGAATCACCCGCGATCGACACATGCCGACACCGGACTGATCCATAGCTATTCTGGACCGTTCCACTAACGGCCCTTATGGTCAAATGGTCATTTCACAGTCATATTACTCTAATCGTCTTGCGTGCTCAGGGAGTCATTCCACTGTCGATCCCTAAGCCAATTCATGGACAATTTTTCGATCGAATCATGACTAACCCTCAGTACACTCGTTCCGACTATATTGTCCATTCCATTGCCGACCTTCGACTCGGACTACTTGCCCCATTTATCCCTCGTTACCTCTGGCCACCGAGGTCCAAATTCGGGGATGTCACAATAAGTCTCTATTAACAAAAAAAAATAAAGAAATGTAACTTATCCTTAATGGAATCAAAATGCTCTAGCATGAAAAGTAGCTTTAAATACGAAATTGTGAAGCATTTATTCTAAAACTACAATGAATATCCTTAGTATTTTTAAGATTAATATGACAAAGAAAGGAAATTGTCAATTGATTAAGGACTCTTAAGTTGGTGGTGTTACCGTTCAGTGCTTTTTTTTTTTCGGTCGAACCATTCAGTGTTAGGTTATTATGTAAATGTTTTTCTTTAAAGGTTTTTTCAGGCTTAGCCCAAACCGAATTGGCTCGAAAAAATGATGCCGTACCATTTCTTTCTATAAAAAGCCCGGCCCACCCGGCCCATTTGCATTGCTATGCCGAAAAGGGTTAGGGGGTCGAAAACCTATTGCACAATCAAAAAAGAAAAATAAGATAAACGCAAAAAAGCCGATGAAATGCTCTTTAGAATCTCTCTTTATTCTAGTCGCCCAAAAATATCTTTCTAGAAAAATGATAACTGTGGCACGTGTGACCCAAAAAATTATTCTTACTAGAAAATTAATTCTTTTTCTCCCAAAATCATTTCCTCAATTGGAAAATGCTCTCCTCATCCTGGTTACTTCAATCTCTCTCATTAAATTATTCTTATGGAACTAAGTTCTCATAAACAATCAAATCCAAAAAAGAAAGCGCCAATCTGACAACTATTTTGATTTATTGAGTCCTGTTCTCCAAACCCAATCATTTTTTATTTAAAATATGGATAAAAATATTATGCAATACACTTTAGAGTGGTGTTACCGTTCAATGTTAGGTTATTATGCGAATTTTTTTTGTTCGTTTTTAAAAGTTGTTACGGGCTTAGCCCAAACCGAATCGGCCTAGAAAAATCATGCCATGCCATTTCTTTTTGAAAAAGCGCGGCTCGTCTGCACCGCTACACCGGAGAAAGAAGGTCGGGACTCAGAGACCTCTTGCACAATCGACAAAAAAAATTACAAAAAAATTGATAAAATGCTCTTTAAATTATCTCTTTATTCTAGTGGCCCAAAAACCTTCTTTCTAGAATAATGATAATTGTGGCCTTTGTGGCATAAAAGAATTATTTTTTTTCCCTTTTTGCTAGAAAAAATTAACTCCTTTTCTTTCGAAATTATTTCCTCAATTAGAACCCTCATGAATCATGATCACATCATGTCTATTGCCTTGTCACCACTCCCCTCATCTTATTTACTTTTATTTTCTCCGTTAATTATTAATATAGTCTTTATATTTTTGCACAATCTTTATTCTGATGGAACTAAGCTATCATATTACTTGAAAAAGTCCACACCAACGACAATAGATCCGACATGATGATCAAAATCTTGTCCACGGTGAAACTTGACTCCTGTAGAAAGAAAGCGAGAATGATGGAACAATGTAATCCAATGAAGAATGCACCCATCCAACAACTAAGTTTTGATTTATTGATTTCTACTCCCCAAATTCAATCATTTTTTTAAATCCAAATTTTAAATAAAAATATTTTGCAATACATTTTAGAGTGATATCTCCTATAGTGAATATGATTATTGAAGTTACTTAAATAAATCTATTTAATTCAAAATTAAATTAAACTATATATATTTCCAAAAACTATAAATATTAATAACTTTAGTTACCTCAAAATTAAATCAAATGCACTAAAAGTCGTAAAACTCTTCATAAAAGTACAATTGAGTCATAAAACCTATAAAAAGTGTAATCAAATCTTAAAACTTCTCAAATTAGTGCAATTAAGTCATTCCGTTAACTCCGTTTAACTTAGGTAATGAAAAATACTGACGTGGTTTTTTTTTATATTTTCTCTCTCCTACTTGGCGATGACGTGGCTAAAACATAAAATTTAAGGCTAAAACGACGTCGTTTTGGCTAAAATCTAATTTTTAACAAGTATTTCATTTAAATTAAATGAAAAAATAAGATAAATTTTAAATTCAAAAAAGGGAAGAGGAAAATCGGCAAGGGCCGCTAGCCCTTGTCACCGTCGCCCCACCATCGCCAGAAAGGGCCAGCTATGGTTGGGGATAATTTGCTAGCGGTTGGCGAGGGTCGCCAAGCCCCGGCCATTGGCCTGTGAGGCTGGCAATGGTGGAGCGGCGGCGAGGGCCTCGTCGCTTTCCTTTCTTCTTCCCTTTTCTTTTTAATTTAGCTTATTTTTTCATTTAATTTTAGTAAAATACTTATTATAAATCAGATTTTGATCAAAACGACGTCATTTTAGCCACGTCAGCATTTTTCATTAGCCAAATTGATCAGAGTTAATGGAATAACTTGATTGCATCAATTTAACAAGTTTTAAGATTTAATTGCACTTTTTGTAAGTTTTAGGACTCAATTACACTTTTGTTACAAGTTTTTAAGACTTCCAGTGCACTTATCCCTTAAATCAAAACATAAAATTTCAAAATAATATACTTGATTAATAGAATTACCATTTGAAGTGTAAGTTTGAATTCGTAAATGGCTTTCACCAAAAATAAATTGAAATTAAATTGCAACGAATCCAGTTATTTCAAATTAAAGTAGAATTTTAAAATGGAAAAACTAAAATAATACATAGATAAGATAAAATTCTTACAATTACAATTATAATATAATTTCCATTCAGCAATATATTTTTTCTCTAAAAATATCAATTCATTTCATCGAAGTATTTTACAGTACACTTAATTGAACGACGGAATTGAAAATCAAAAAGGGGGAAATACATGTTTGTACATATGAAATAAGGTATGCAAATAATTAAGGCAATATGAAATTGCAGAATGCAAGAAAAAGGAAGGCTAAGTAAGAATCCACTTTGTATAACTTGATATCACAACAAAAATTACCCAATTCAACATAACTGGCTCGGCTACAATTCAGAAGCAAGCCTGCAAGACGCACCAGAGGACTCCTATTGGTTTGCATATATGAATTATCAACCAAAAGGTACATGAGAAACTCTATAGCAGGCACCACATAGCAGTATCATATGTATTGGTTCTTGATTGTCTTATTGATGGCATGCATATGAACACTTCCAGATGGGGATCTCCATAGGTTTCTGGCCCAGTTTGAATGGGGAGCCTTCGGAATATTTCCGGAACGGATTGCCATCGCTGTTCATTGGGACAACACCCAGCAAATCGCACCATCTTTCTGACATAAGCATCCCGGATCCTCTTTAACAGCTTGTTCGACATCGTGATCTTCAGTTGCCATTTCAGAATCCTCTTGATCTTTGAAACCCTGGAACTTTTCCCATCCGGCAGAGAAATCTTCTCTTTTTCCAGCCTCTGGTACTTCCTTCTCTTCTTCATTTCATTCCCACTAAGAGCACTGCTAAATGCCACCATCATGCAGAGAAAGAGAGAGAGAGAGAAGTGGTAATATGAATGTTAAGTGGTAACTAGTCAGGGCATTATAAAGCTAATTCAAAGTGAACTGAAGCTTCAGGGAAAGAGGCCTCAATGTAGAATAATGAGGACTTAAACACCGACACTTGCAGAAATTGACAAGAAACACCAAATATTTTCTACATTGATTGGCTATGTTGACAATGTACTTTGACAATTTCACTTCAGGAGCAAAGTTTTTGGAATGCACTACATTAATCAGTATTTAATAAAGGGAACAAGAGGACACCGTTCTGAAACCATAATGATGACTGACAGATAGGGGCATGCCTTAAGTGGAAGGGCCAAGCTCAACACACATCATGTGGAAGATTCGAAGGTGTGGTTTATTGCTGCCTCCAACAGATATTTAACCAAAGCACGCCCAGCTATCAAGAACATGATTTCGTGCCGGAACCTGCAATAGGGCTTTCTCTACAAGTAGTTGTAGAAGCCCTGTCGCTGCAGCTTGATCACTCGGTTTAAGTCGAGTGTAAACACCAGCCTCTGTCACAGATGATCTCTTAACCAATGCATCATTGTCTGACCGATCACTCGGTGTAAGTCAAGTCTTGACATTAGGCTTGTCATATAGGTAAGTTTTTGACAGGTACATCACCGCAAGCAGTCACGGAGACAATTGCGTATTTGTTGATTCAATATCCTTTGGTTCTCTTCATAAATTTGTCGTCCTTTTTCTATTATATTTACTTCATAAAATTGGTGTTGAAATTATAAACTATCAAAGGAGAAGCTTAAGCCAAACACTCTCTCAATTTGCATGTGCAACAAGTCTAAGATCTATGCTCGATCTTAGCCAAAAGGCCGCGAAAGAGATTAACAAATCTAGAATCTAGAAATTAGAATAAACGTGCTTATATGTTGAAGGTGAAATGTGACAACATTCTATGTTATCCCAGGGTATGAAAAAAAGCCTCACCCTCAGATAGTTTCAAGAAGGATATCTACAACAGAGGGTAAAGAATTCACTCGGACATCCACTTACAAAAATGTGAAGATACATTGTTTCGACAAATTTTTTCTTACATCAGTATTTTCTCCCAGCTTCCACGGTATCCAAAACAGGGGTAGTATCATGCTCACGCGAGCTTAATTCCATACTTTCCATGCCATTATTTCTTCTCATAAATGAAGCTTCGACTTCTGGTTGTTGCGGATGAAAAGAGTTAACCCTTTGAGCTAAAGAATGAGCCCCATTTCTCTCTTCCATCATCTGAAAAAATGTGTGAGGCGCCCAACCTGCTTGACCATTTTACGGGCATCACTGAATGGCATACTGGACAATGAACTGAAACATGTGAACTAGACTCTGCTGTGCCCTCCAATCATTTTAAATCCCGAGAAGTTTCTTATGACATACTGATAATGAACAGTGATATGAACATACAGCTAAAGTAGGATATATAACCCATGAGGAACATAACTTAAAAGAAAGAAGTTGCTATTGTCAGAGCTTTATTGTATGAGCTAGCTGAAAAGCGAATAGACATACCATTGATATCATTTGGCCAAGGGAAGAACTGCAAGTAACAAAATGCAGCAATGACTGATCCTGCACTATAAAAAATTAGAAAGGTTGTGGATGAAAGTTATGTATTTCATCTGCAAAGACTAATTTGCATGACCTTTTCTTTTTGATCATTCATGCCACTTCTAATACTAACCTATAAGAGCACCAGTAAATACATCCTGCCAATGGTGCCAATAGTCATCAACACGAGAAATAGCGACAAGGGCCGCAAGAAGCAAAGGGAAAAGTATGATGCAGAGTTTTGCAATGTGGCCTCGACGGTCAAATGCTCTAAGTTTCCCTGCTAGATACCATGAAAGGTAACTGAGACCTGCAAAGGACCCTGGATGTGGACAATCAATGAGCCTTCTGCAAGGTCATCGCATATAAACAAGAAAATCAACTACAAAAGCTGATTGCTCTCAGGTTACTGTCTAATTTCACCATTAATTTGAGAATTGTTGAGAGATTTTCATTGCAGTTTGTGGACCAATCTGGCATTCCAGCAAAAAACTCTGCAGATATATCAAGATTGCTCTGTTTTTTCTAATTCCAGTATCACAGTCTTTACCATTTGGGCGAGAATAGTGTAGAAGTCTGGCATCGAGTACAATTAAGAGAACTAGTGACCTAGTGAAGAGGGCGTGGTGGAGAGTGACGTTATTTAATGTTGGCTATTTCTCCTATCCAGGTGTTCCAGTTAAAAAGGCCTTTCAAGGAGAACTCCACAGTGAGGTTGACATTTATTGATTGAACAAAGCCACGTTATGAGAATCGAATTGACCCTTTTTATCTTTTCACACAAGCATGATGAAAAACCAGTCATTCACATATACTCACAAGAGGAATGCCCACTGGGGAAGCTTTTGTAGCCTTCCTTTATCACGGCCTTATCTCCATGACAGATGACATTTTTCGTTATAGGATCAAAAACCTGGCATGCAAACGACCATTGGAAGTTAAGGATTGAAGAATGCTAGAAAATTCTTTTGCTTATGCCTGTAAGGGTATCGGTTTATTTGAAGAAATTTGATCTCTCTGTGTCCTGTCATGTCACGGAATGGGGAAGGGAGGGGGATGTTAAGCGAAAACCAACTGAATTATGAGGATCGAACTCACCCCTTTTCCATCAGGGAAACACCGCCAGAAGAAGTCTGGTCTTGGTCGTCCAACAGCATCTTTTATAGCATCGGTAATCACCGCAGTCAAGAGTATCGAAAATAGAAGGCCTGCAACTTGCATATTCTCCACATCAGCTAAAATTTCTCTCAAACAATATTTCAGGACGAACAGAATATTAAATCAATGGAAAGGATAGAGGAAGCACCCAAAATCGCATGATGGAAATCATAAACGTCTTTGCGGGTGAAGTAGATAACAAGAAAGACAACCAATGGAAGCACTATGGCGAGAATCTGCCCAAGACAAAAGGTCAGGATTAGTCTTCTTTCTCGAGAGAACTTGGCCATTGGGATAAAGATTATGTCGCAGTATGGCAGCACCTATGGAGTGAATATTTCAAAGGCTGGCGAGAACACTTACTGGGACAGCCCAAAAGGGCACAGTATTGGCCTTCAGAGGATATTTCATGTCTGTCATCATGTCTTCTCCAACAAAACGGTGAAATGGTTCTATCAAAAGTAAGACGGCTTCTATCACCATAAGCAGCAAAAGAATGAGCCAGTCATGCTTATGCGTTGTTGCCACCTTGAATCCATGGGATTTAATAGTGTGAGATCCCAACTCAATGTCTGGCATTTCTGTGTGCCTGTGCACAACAGAACTGATTACTTTGGAAGCAAAAAGGAAAACTAGAAAGCCATGAAAACTCATCAAAACTCAGATAACTAAAGGATTGCACACACGAAGCATGGGACTTGAAAAACACCTGGATACTTAACAAGTGATCTTGAAAGCCACGAACCAGACAGATAGTTAAACAAAGCACGTTATGTTACAGGACAATGTTCTTTCCCCTAGAACTGTACCATTTGCCCATTGGTCAAAAGCTTTTAGTGCTGAAAAAAAAGTGTGGCAAGATAAAAATAGACAAATAAGGTACATAAGATCTACAGGTATAGGAAAAAAGATTATGAAATTTCTACTCAGGGAATTGTAAAAAAAGGGAAAGAGATTTAAAAGATATTTATCCTAAAATTCCTGCTTGGCCCATTAATTTATATATTACCTGCCTTCGATAAATATTTTCTATTACTATTTTATTTAATAAGAAAAATAAGAGGAAGAAATATACATAAAAATTTTATATAGAAATAAAAAAAAGAAAATAATTATAAAAATATATATAAATGAATTGCCCAGATTTAGTTATAGATTGGAAGACATTGTTGTTTAGCTCAAAAAGTCAAAATAGAGAAAAGTTGCAACTGTTGGCCGGGTACGCCTATGTGGGCCCAGCTAACTTTAATAAGAGAAAAAAGAAAGGTCAAAAAGTCAAAAAGAAAAAGAAAAAGAAAGAAGGGAGAAAAGGCTTGAATTATATTTCTAAATCAGTGACTCTTATTATAGAAAACAGCACAAGAACTTAACCAAGAAAGTTTCTAAGTAATGACAACAGAGGCAAGCCAAAAGGAGGGCAAAATCAAGGCCAAGGAGGACTATGAAGTGTTATAATTGTCATAAGATGGGACATTATTTAAAAGAGTGATAGTTGCCAAAGAGAGATAAATCACATAAAAGAAATGGAGATCGAAAGAAAGAAGAGAAACAAGTTACAGCGACAATTGCATCCGATCGCGATATTATGTTTATTTGTGATGATGCCTGTGTAAACCTTACATGCCAAAACTCTAGTTAGATTGTTGATTCTACAGCCTCATTTCATGTCGCCTCACGGAGTGACTACTTCACTTCCTATCGCAACAATGATTTTGGTTGTGTTAAGATGAGAAACAGTGGTGTTTCCAAGGTTATTAGCATGGGAGATGTTTATTTGGAAACCGATATTTGGTGTAATTTGCTTTTGAAAAATGTGAGATATGTTCTGGACATTCGACTTCACTTGATCTTTATATGTGCCTTAGATGATGATGGTTATTGGAATTCCTTGTATGACCTCCTCCATGTCGACTTAAGACAACAAAGATGAGAACCTGGCCAATTTCCTCAAGTCTGAGATCCTCTCCAAGATAAAAATCCGACCCCTATTCATTTCAACTCACCTTAATATTTGATTTTTTTCCTCAATTTTGATTTTTAGAGTAATTCGATTTGATCTCCATTCTTTTCCCCAGGAGAGCATCGACGCCGTCAAGACGGAAGCAAAATGACAACGTTTAGGAGGAGAAGAAGCGCAGAAGGAGAGACAAGGTGATGGCAAAAGTAACAGAAAAATGCAGCCTCGCCAGCAACGTCGTCGTATAAGGTGGTGATAATCTTTTGAGGTGTCTGGCAGAGGAGAGGCAAGAGAGAGGGAGGAAATTCGATGAGCAAGAGAGGAAGAGAGATTAAATTGCTGGGGTTCTTCCAAGAACACTCCTTGTTGGACACCTGTTTAGCACAAATACAGCACACGCAACGGCTTCTGCCCAAAACTTCTTGGGTAAATTTTTAGCCTTTAGCATACTTCTTGCCATTTCAAAAATTGTCCTGTTCTTTCTTTCTGCTATACCATTTTGTTGAGGAGTATAGCTGGCAGTCAACTGACGTTTCACTCCATGAAATTTACAGTATTTGTCAAATTCATTCGAAGTGAATTCTCCTCCTCTATCTGATCTCAACGTCTTTAAAATAAAGTCACTATGCTTTTCAACATAGACTTTAAATTCTTTAAATTTACCAAAAGCTTCAGATTTTTCTCTCAGAAAATATACCCATGTTTTTCTGATAAAATCATCCACAAAAATTAACGTGTACCTTTTTGGTCCGAATGATTCCACCTCAACAGGGCCACAGATGTCTGTATGTACCAACTCCAATGGTTGTTTTACTCTTCTGGCTTTTCCAACTGGAAAGGATTCTCGATGTTGTTTTCCAACAAGACATCCCTCGCATGGTCGATCTGGACTATCAATCAGAGGCATGTCGGTCACCATCTTTTTCTGGACTAGTAATTTTAGTCCACAAAAATTTAGATGACCGAATCGAAGATGCCACAACCAGTTTGTATATTTCATCATCGCTCGAAAACTCAAAAGATTCTTCGTCTGAAGAGTCAAAAGGAACATTCGGTTCTTCGTCATTTGCACCATCGTAATCAACTTATCATTCACACCTTTGATGGTGCAAACTCCATTTTCAATATGGACTTTATGGCCTCTTTCGGAAAGTTGTCCAACACTTAACAAATTCCAAAAAAGTCCCGGTACAAAGAAAACATCTGCAACAGTAACATTAGTACCATCTTTTGACTTGATATTAATGTTACCTTTGCCCATTACGAGAACTTTGGATTTATTCCCAAAATTAACTTCACCACGAACCGTCTCGTCCAATTGCGAGAATAACTCCTTTCGGCCAGACATATGATTACTACACCCAGTATCAAGGTACCAGATGTTGGTGTCCACGATGCTTGAGTCATCCTTCTTACACGCCAGCACCACATTTTCCTCGTTATCAATGGCATGTGCTTGTTGTTCTTGCTCGTACGCTACCTTTGCTTTACATTCGGATTTGTAATGTCCGAATTTGTTACACTTAAAACACTTGACCTTTGATTTGTCATGTGTTTTATATTTTCCGGTGAAATTAAAATTTCCACGTCCACGTCCTCGACCACCTCCATGACCTCGGCCACCTTGATAGCCTCCTCAGCTTGATTGAGTGACCCGACTCTGCAATGCTTGCTCGGGAGTCGAATCGACGGACTTTTGATTCATTCTTTGCTCATGCGAGCACAATGAACCCATCAACCGCTCCAACGTCATGGTTGACACATCTTGCCCTTCTTCAATCGCCGCGACAACGTAGTTAAATCTTTCGGTCAAAGACCTTAAGATCTTTTCTACAACTCGCACATCTTGGAGTTCTTCACCATTAACCCTCAATTGGTTAACAATGGTCTGCACACGGTCAAAGTACGCCGAGATTGATTCAGAGTCATTCATACGTAAAGACTCGAAATCTCGTCGAAGTGTTTGAAGCCACACACATTTGACACGATCATCGCCTTTGTAGGATTGTTGCAAAATATCCCACGCTGCTTTCGCGGTTTTCGCGCTCGATATTTTTTCAAATATCATTTCCTCTACGGATTGAAAGATCGCAAACAATGCTTTCTGATCTTTTTTCCGAGATTCCACCAAAGAGTCTTTCTCCTCCCTTCTCAAAGCATCGAATTCTTCAGCATTGGCCACTTCGGTGTAGCCGTTTTCCACCAAGTTCTACAAATCTTGCGATTTGAAAAGAACCTTCATCTGGACAGACCAGTTATTGAAATTCGTCCCGTTCAACTTTGGAAGTTGTAACTGAACGGAACTAGTAGATGTCATTTCTAGCTCTGATACCAAATGTTGGAACCAAAAGAATAATAATAAACTTTGGAAACTTGGATTAAGAGCACAAATAATTATTGGAGGGAGAACTTTTTATTCAGAATGCTTTGTCTTTGTGGCTTCGTGTTTGGCTTAATTTACAACTCACGACTTCATCCCTTTATATAGGAATCGAAGTTCACAAACTCCAATGATTACATTTAATAAAGAAAACATAACAATCCACAATCATTAAGAAAGACAATAAAACAGATTAATCTGTTGAAGAAAAATGAAGCCACGTTGAAGTCTTTATGACTCTTCTTTAACGCTTGTAGCTTCCAGCAACCGACGTGCTCAATCACACCAATAATCAATTTTATGTTCTTCCAATACACTTCCAGATGGCGATCTACAAAGTTTTTGACAGATACATCATGCAAGCCGTGACGGGGACAATAGCGTATTTGTTGATTCAATAACCTTTGGTTCTCTTCATGAATTGTTCCTAAAATTCGAGTTGAAATGAAAAACTATCAAAGAAGAAGCTTAAGCCAAACACTCTCCCAATTAGATGAACGAGTTTAAGATCGACACTTGATCTTGGCCAAAAGGCCGCAAAAGGTATTAAGGAATCTACGATCTAGACATTAGATAAACGTACATATATGTTCAAGGTGAAATGTGACATCATGGTTATGATAAAAAGCCTCAACCTCAGAGTGTTTCAAGAAGGATATCTACAACAGAGGTTAAAGAATTCACTAGGACATACACTTACAAAAATGTGAAGATACATTATTTCGACAAATTATCTTACATCAGTATTTCCTCCCAGCTTCCATAGCATCCAAAACAGGGGTAGTATCATGCTCGCGTGAGCTTGATTCCGTACTTTCCATGCCATTAGTTTTTCCCATAAATGAAGCTTCGACTTCTGGTTGTTGCGGATGAAAAGAGTTAACCCTTTGAGCTGAAGATTGAGCCCTATTTCTCTCTTCCATCATCTGAAAAAATTTGTGAGGCGCCCAACCTGCGTGACCATTTCACGGGCATCAATGAATGGCATACTGGACAATCAACTGAAACATGTGAACTAGGCTCTGCTGTGCCCTCCAATCGTTTTAAATACTGATAATGAACAATGATATGAACATACAGCTGAAGTAGGATACAACCCATGAAGCACATTACTTAAAAGAAGAAGTTGCTATTGTCAGAGCTTTATTGTATGAGCTAGCTGCAAAGCGAATAGACATACCATTGATATCATTTGGACAAGGGAAGAACTGCAAGTAACAAAATGCAGCAATGATTGATCCTGCATTAGAAAATATTAAAAGGTTAGTGAATAGAAGTTATGTTTTTCATCTGCAAAGACTAGTTCGCATGACTTTTTTCTTTTTGACCATTCATGCCGCTTCTAATACTAACCTATAAGAGCGCCGGAGAATACATCCTGCCAATGGTGCCAATAGTCATCAACACGAGAAATAGCGACAAGGGCCGCAACAAGCAAAGGGAAAAGTATGATGCAGAGTTTTGCAATGTGGCCCCGACGGTCAAATGCTTTAATTTTCCCTGCTAGATACCATGAAAGGTAACTGAGACCTGCAAAGGACCCTGGATGCGGACAATCAATGAGCCTTCTGCACGATCACCCCATATAAACAAAAAAAATGGACTACAAAAGCTGATTGCTCTCAGGTTACTGTCTAATTTCGCCATTTTATTTGAGAATTGTAGAGAGATTTTCATCGCAGTTTAGATAGTCTCAACATCCGCTGCATCTTATTGACCGTCATTTTTCACTTCTTTCTGAAAGGTTACGAACCATACTAAGCTGTTTCAATTCCCGAGTCAAATTTGTAAACAAATCTGGCAATCCAGCAAAAAAACCCTGCAGATATATCAAGATTGCTCCGTTTTTCTAATTCCAGTATCACAATATCTACCATTTGGGCAAGAATAGCTTCGAAGTCTGGCATCGAGTACAATTAAGAGACTGGTGACCCAGTGAAGAGGCGTAATCGAGTGTGACATTAAAAAATGGTGGCTGTTTTTCCTATCCAAGTGTTCCAGTTATAAAGGCCTTTCGAGGAGAACTCCAGAGTAAGGTAGACATTATTGATTGAAGAAAGCCACGTTATGAGAATTGAATTGACCCCTTTTATCTTTTCACACAAGCATGATAAAAAACCAATCATTTCACATATACTTACAAGAGGAATGCCCACTGGGGAAGCTCTTGTAGCCTTCCTTTATCACAGCCTTATCTCCATGACAGATGACATCCTTTGTTATGGGATCGAAAACCTGGCATGCAGATGACCATTGCAAGTTAAGGAATTAAATAATGCAAGAAAATTCTTTTGCTTATGCCTGTAAGAGTAGTGGTTTATTTGAAGAAATTTGATCTTGTTCTGTTTGTGTCTTGTCATGTCACGGGACGGGGAAGGGAGGGGGATGTCAAGCGAAAACCAACTAAATATTGAGGATCGGAACTCACCCCTTTTCCATCAGGGAAACACCGCCAGAAGAAGTCTGGTCTTGGTCGTCCAACAGCATCTTTTATAGAATCGGTAATCACCGCAGTCAACATTACCGAAAATAGAAGGCCTGCAACTTGCATATTCTCCACATCAGCTAAAGATTCTCTTGAACAATATTTCAGGACGAACAGAATTCCAAATCAAGGGAAAGGATAGAAGAAGCACCCAAAATTGCGTGATGGAAATCATAAACGTCTTTGCGGACGAAGTAGATTACAAGAATGATAAAGAATGGAAGCGCTATGGCGAGAATCTGCCCAAGACAAAAAAAAAAAAAGGTCAGGATTAGTCTTCTTTCTCGAGAGAACTTGGCCATTGGGATAAAGATTATGTTGCAGTATGGCGGCACCTAGGGAGTGAATATTTCGAAAGCTAGCGAGAACACTTACTGGGACAGCCCAAAAGGGCACAGTATTGGCCTTCAGAGGATATTTCATGTCTGTCATCATGTCTTCTCCAACAAAACGGTGAAATGGCTCTATGATAAGTAAGACCGCTTCTATCACCACAAGAAGCAAAAGAATGAGCCAGTCATGCCTATGGGTCGTTAACACCTTGTATCCATGGGATTTAATAGTGTGAGATTCCCACTGAATGTCTGGCATTTTTTGGTGCCTGCATAACAGAATTGATTACTTTGGAAGCAGAAAGGTAATCCAAATGGCGTGAAAAACTCGTGAAAACTAAGAATTCACACACGAAGCATGAGACTTGAAAAACACCTAGATACTTAACAAGTGATCTTGACTAGGGGTGAGCAAGATGGTCCGCCCAAACCGAGACCAAACCGAACCGGACCAGACCAACCGGTGTGGTCCAATTCTCGGGAATATCGGTCCGGTTCCCGGTTCTTAAAAGTGGAACTGGTTTTCGGGCGGTCCGGTTCCCGGTTCTAGGGTGGGAACCGGACCGGACCGGACCGATAAATATATATATTTCTAATTTTTTCATATACATTTATTTACTTTTTAAAATTTTTGAAAAATATAGAAAGCCTAATCTGATATTCCCAATTCTCTCTTGCCTTTACCAATAAGTGATTGGTCCCATTGGAACTTAACCGGACCGATGGTCTGGTCTAGTCCACGGTCCCAAGACTAGCCGGTCCGGTCCCCGATCCTAAAAACTGGGAACCGGTCCTCCCGGTCCGGTTCCGATTCTTGGGTTAGACCGGATCGGACCGGGAACTGCTCACCCCTAATCTTGACAGCCACGAAGCATGCAGATAGTTAACCATACAGACAATGTTTTCCCTAGAACGGTACCATTTACCCAGTGCTCAAAAGCTTTTGGCGCTGAAAACTAAAATTCACTTCTCAAATTTAGCTATGGATCGGTAGACATTGCTGTTTAGCTCAAAAATTCAAAATAGAGAAAAGCTGCAAGCAGATTAGAAAAGCTGTGGGCAGACAAAACTTCACTCCAGAAAGTAGAGTCCAAAAGAATCTTAAAACCCCCTTGTCCATCTCTCAATACACTAGATGACATAAAGTTGGTGAACATGAAAGTAGAGCCAAAGAGTAAGAGTGACGACAATGCCTAAACCATTTGTCTGATTCTGAAACTACCCTTTCCTCGTCCGACAAAAAAAGCACAGCACAAGCAAAATCCTTAGCGCATCGCATACAAAGGTCAGAAAACCAAAAAAGGGTTTGTCAAGAAGAGCTGAAATTGATCTTTTGCCCCGTCACTCCATCTTCAAGAACCGTCACCACACCATGCAAGAAGACCATTTCCGGAAACCCATTACATCCGACCCAAACCAGGAACGAAGAGCCGAACAGCGCACGACACAGACAGCGAGCGAGATCGAGCAAGAGCGAGAGAAAGCCGAAGAAGGAGCTGACCTTGCAAAACACCGATTTCAATCCGCAAGAAGCCTCGAACACAAGCAAGAGCCGAGGGAAATCCTCTTCAAGAATGCCCGCTTTTGTGGGTCCACTGACAGATACAGCGTCACCGGATGAAAGCTGCACAGCATACGACCCATCATCAGAAACCCAGTTGACACGATCCGAGTTCCAACCCCCATAAATGCATAAACAAAGCGGAATTGGGGAAGCCGCGACGCTCGTAGCTCCCAACGACGACCCACATGGCAAGACGGACGTGTGATGACAAGATTTGAATAACAAATTACATTGAAAAAGGATTGCTTAGCGAGCAGGAGTTGTGCCGAAGTCAAGTGGACGGTATCCATCAATTCCATCGACGCACGCAAAGCGCTATCAACAGAGGGACCATCACCTACCCTGATAGACCCACCCGGCCCTTCAGTTATCCGAAATTGGTTTAGTCGCCCTTCGACGAGGGGCAAGCCAGCGCGCGGCGGCGGCGGCGGCGGCGGCGGTGGCGGCTGCGGAGGCACCTTCGTTCCTCCGGCCTCCGTCGACAGCCGGCCCAAAACCGATCCGAAAACTGAAAAGAAGTTCGAGGGAAGTGGCGCGAACTCGCCAGTATGAGTCGAACCATTGAACCTCCGCATGCGATTTCGGAACTCGGAACGTTACGATAACGGACGGAACCGGAGGAAGGAAATCGCCGTCGAGTTTTGGTTCTTGCGGCTTGCGTGGTTTCGGAGTGCAAACGGCGGAGTTCGTCGGCGGCGACGGTTGGAGTTTCAGTTGTAAACTGAGGACGCTCGAGCGAGTAGTATTCATCTGACACATGATGACGATGATATTTTATTTACTTATTTATTTATTTATTTTGATTTGATCATACTTGGGGTGAAATTGGTTTTTTTTTATTTTTTTTGCAACTAACTTTGATTACAAGGAAAGCAATCCAGTTAAGCAAGTTTACTTTTAAATTTTTCTAGTTTTTTTTCTTAATTTTATGGCTCGCGTGATTCGATTTTTATTCAATACCGAATACTTGATATCTTTCGAGACATACGAATATTAACAAGTAAAATCACGGATTATTATTTCGAAGTTTCCCTAAAAAATTTTGGAACCCGCTTTCAAATTTTTTTTCGAAGGAGAGTGTGTAAAAGAGAAAGCAAAAATTTCTTTGGAGACTTATATGCCCTAAAAAGTAGGGGGCATGTCGACCCGAATTTGAGCCGACACACAACCGAGCTCGACTTGTATATTGGGTACCTCGAAAACTGGCTCGGGCACAATCGAGTGTTTAACTTTTCTGCTCGAGCTCAATTCGATCGGAAAATCGAGATGTCCGAGCTTGACTTGATCCGGCTATTACGATCAACTTATAAATGAGCTCGAGCTCGAGTTTAATAAGCTCAAATGCAATGTAATTACGAGAATTTTTGGGGTCATTTGTACAACTTTACGTATTCTTTCAAATAATAGGAACCCGACCAACTTGATTAGACACTTGCTAATCTTGTATTGAGTTTGAGCGGGTCGACATTTGGACGAGTCCACCTTGCAAACTTGAAAATAAGAAGAAAAAAGGGTGTGTGGGGAGTTGATTCAACTTGCACGTTGCAAGCAAAACTCATATCCACCTTGCACACTTAGATTTTTCTAGGAATAAATGCATTAGAAGTCCTAAAATTTATAACGAAAGTGCAATCGAGTTCTAAAACTTTTCAAATGTGTAATTAATTCATAAAACTTGTCACGAAAGTGTAAACGGATCCTGAAACTTGTCAAATAGATCCAATCAAGTCCTTCTATTGATTGCACTTTTTAAAAGCTTTAGGACTCTCATTGCACTTTCGTGACAAGTTTTAGGATTCGATGCACTTTCAGAAAGTTTTGGGACTCGATTACACTTTCGTGATAAGTTTTTAGGACTCGATTGCACTTTTAGAAAGTTTTAGAACTCGACTGCACTTTCGTGACAAAGTTTTAGGACTCAATTACATGTTTTTGAAGGTTTTAGGACTCGATCATATTTTCGTGACAAGTTTTAGGACTTGCAGTGGACTTATCCCGTTTTTTTCTAACAAAAAGCATGCCATCTAATTGGTAAGCGGCTCTTGGTAAGAACTTAACAAATATGTATGTAAATCATCGAATTTCTAATCCATAGATTACATACTACGTGGCGTGGAGACTTGGCTAAATGTTACTTCTTCATTTTCCTATCTTATGAAATATTCAATTGATATCATGGACCGGGTACGACACGAGATAGAGCCTACATGGGTAGCAAAAGATGAAATCGGTCAGGGAATAGCCGAGATCTAAAGATGCGTCGCGTGTCTTAGCTCACCTTACAGATCCGCTCAACCACTAATTAAATAAATCAGGCTCGTAGGGACATGTAGGTCAAACTTTTCCCGTGTCGAAGAAAATATTGCGTATGAAATTGAGTGTGCGTATGTGTGTGTCCACGCTCATTATATTTTACGTGAAGCGATGTTTTAAAAACCGTACCGGAGGGCCATACGGATGGTGCGAACACTACGCGGTTCAACCGAAAAAAATCGGGTGGCTTGAAAAATAATTGATATATAAAGTGTAGCGCGAAGGTTAACGAGTATTTGCCCATAGTCAAGCTGGTAAAGTCACATTCGTTTATTTTGGTTTTTGGTATATGGAGAAGCCGAAATTCGTGTTTTGGTTCATCACCTTCATCTGATCCGACAGAAAATTATCCAAAAAGTCTTAAATTAATTGCGCTTTTGCCAATTCAATTCTAAACATTTTAATCGTGTCAATTGAATCATAAACATTTTCACGTTTTGTCAATTAAATCCATCCGGTCAATTTTGGCCAAAAACCGCTGGCGTGGACACCGGCTATCCTATGTGGCACGACCGGCGCTGATATGAACAATTTTTAATAATATTTTTTCGAAGTTTTTATTAAATTTTTTTTGTTTTTCTTTTCTTCTCTTTTCCTTCTTTATTTTTTTCATTTTTTTTCCTTTCCTTTTCTCTTCTTTTCTCTTCTTTTTTCTTTTTCCCTTTTTCCCTCTGTCCGGTCTTGTTGAACCTCCGCCGGCCTCAGGCGAGAGCTGTCCTTGCCAGATCGAGCGAGGGTCACCATCGATATCCATAAACCGATCGGCATTTTCCTCTTGCCGATAGTTTTATCCATAATCAACCAAACCCAGTTCCCATCGACTAAGTTTATCGATTATAGTCAAAAGTTTGTTAGGTGTAAACACGATCACAAAGACAGAGCGAGAAAGAATCGAAGAACCGAACCTTTCAAAACCGATTCAATCCGCCCACAGAATCCTCTTCCAAAATGCGGCCTAAATACAGCAGCACCATATGAAAGCAACACAGAATATGACCCCATCAGAACCGTGTCGAGGTGGTCAGAATTCAAACCGCATCCTTAGGCATCAACTACCACATGGGCCAATGAACATGTAATAATAGCTTCAAGAAAACAAAGACTGCTTAGCGAGGAGGGGGAATCATCCACCAAAAGTCAAATGGACGGCATCAATCAATCAATGCGATCGACACACACACACGCAAGCGCATTTGCATTAAGAGAGAGAGATCATCACGTACCATGTTATAGACGCGGCTCTTCAATAACAAGCAAATCATCCTAAACTTGTTTAATCCATAACGCCAACGGGTTCCAATCTCTTCAACGAGAGCCAAATGCAACCCTTTTGTTCCTCGGGCTCGGTCGATGGTGTCCGCACGGTTCGGAGGAAATCGACGCGAACTCGGGAACGGTCGAATTGGAATCGAAAGTCGCTCGGCCTCGCCGTGGAATTGGAGGAAAGGATTGGGGCTAAATGTCGTGCTTGTGATTCGCGTGATTTACAGTGTGGGTGAGTTCATGATTTCGGCGATAGTTGAGAGTTTCGGTTGTAACTAGGGCCAGCATAATGGGTTAAGATTTAATGAGCCTAGTTCGGTATGGGTAACTCGTTTTTTTTTTCCACGAGTGATCCATATTTTTACCCATTTTTCCAAAGCCCGCCCTGCATAATTTTAACTCATTTTTTTCACGTGCTCGGATTCGCAAATTAGGGTCTCCTCTTTGCTCCATGGATCAATGACGCCGTCGACAAATTTAATGAGCCCAATTCGGTAGGGGTAACTCTGTTTTTAGTAGGATTTCCCTTTCGTGTCCATTCTAATATGCTTTGATGTAAAGTTCTTATCCAAGTAACATATACACGTTAAGGGCTTAAAGTAGGATAAATGTGATAGGAAAATTTGAAGGTGAAAACGCTCACACAACTCAAGGAAGAGAAGGAGGTGAATAGGCTTTTTGTTTTCATTTTTAGTTCACCTTATCAGAAATGATCACAAAACTTGTACGGGCTTGTTCCATGACCATTACTCTTAAATGACTCATAAATATATTTAGCATTTCGAGAAGATAAATTCCTGAGAATTTGCAAAATATTAAACTAGACATAAAAATACGAAAACTCTTGAAAATAACATACAGAGATGAGGGACGAAGATGGAAGGAGAAGGAGGAGAGGGTCGAGACTGAACAAGAGATTCTTGGACAAAGCAGGCGGAGGAGAAGTTGACTACAAGACCAAGGCGGCCACGGCTTGGAGCCACTCCAACCTCAACCAGAAGCCCTCACACCCGCTCTCCTACCCTAACCAGCCTCGCCAGTTGATCATCGAGCAGCTCCAAGCCGAGCGCAAGCGCCGCACTGTGCCAACGAAGTTGCTCGCAAGTTCTCTCTCCTGTTCATCTCGTGCTTTTCCGATTTGTTATCCAGTATGATTCGAACAACCGGGCAGAGCATTGGCTGAGCATGGTGAGAAGTGGGGTTGATTGAGAGGACGCCTCCTCTTGCCTATAGACGAAGATGGTGGTGGCCAAGTGCTCCGGCAGCTCACGATGGTGCCGAGGCACTCTCATTCCCCATCTGGCCGAGGAACGGCGGATTGCATCTTTATTTTTTTATTAATTTTTATTATGTTAAATTTTGATAAATGCTTAATTGGTATAGATGAAAAAAAAATATGAGTTATATATGTGGGGTTAGGTTGGGTATGGGCCATGTAAATTGTATAGAAAATAAATGAATCAATATAATATGAGTTAAATTGGTGAATTTGGGTTGAATCCATTTATCACCCACACAAATCCAACTTAACCGTTCATAGAATTTGATGGAGATTTAAGGTATTGATATAGAGACTTAAATATCTCGAGACATATGAATATTAACAAGTAAAATCATATATAATTTTTCAACTTTTTCTCGAATTTTGCAACCTGCTTTTAAATTCTGTGAAGGAAGTATTTTTTTTTTTATAATAGAAACAATCAGACTTGATTCAACTTGCAAGTTGCAAGCAACCTTCAATCCACCCTATTCCAGCATAGAATTCTAAAGAGAGAAAGTGTTTAGAATGAGAAACTCTAAAGAAAACTTATATTGCTCAAATCACTTATATGATCCAAATGAGGGTAGCA